TACTCTCAGGTCAATATATTTGTTTGAATCCTCTTTTTTCTTTTTTTAAGGTAATGGATACAGCATATTGTGGCAAAACAGTATAATTGTTTCATAATCCTCTTATTTTACTAATTTCATTTCAGTCTTTTTTTAAAGAACTGTAATAGTCACAGCATTCATGACATTCAGTACCACCTCCTCTTTTCATAACCAGTTTTTGTTTTTTCAATGTTATCTGTGGTACCTCAGTATTCACTTCTACAGTCTGCTGTCCCGCCTCTTTTTTTACACAACAGAAAGCAGTATGTCAGGGATTTTTCTGTGCTGCTGCTGCTATCTCTTCTTGTTACGTATGTGTGAAATGGCTTCTGTGCAAAGCTTTGTCTGCACAGATACCATGATCATCAGCTGCTGTGCCTGCCTCTATCCAGTCAAAATGACTTTCTTTAAAACAGAAAATCCATTCATTTCGTCATTGCCTTGCCAGAAAAATGTTGTTCTGAAAATCGGCCTCTGCGTGTTGAAGCTGTATGCTTAGTTGAAAAATGTTGCTGCGTCTTTGAACTGTAACTTAATGTTCTTGGTAACTTTTGGTTCACAGGTGAATTGTTTGTATCCCTTTTGCTAATCTTGTATTCCTTCCCCCCTTCCCTCTGACCCTGGAGTTGTCCTGTGGTATCCTTAGAGGCCAAGAGGATGTTTGGTCACTAAAACAGCTCAGTTCATGCTCTTCTACCAAATTCTGCTTCTCATACTAACTGTCCCCTGTTTCTCCACCCTTGCTGCCACCTGCAAAGCCTGATGTGACTGTGATTAATGAAGCCGCTGAGGCTGGTGTAGATATAGATGAGGAGGATGATGCAGATGTTGAATTCACTCTCCCCTCTGACACTGAAGATGATTACGAGCCTGAGCTGCTGTTAATGCCAACCAATCAGCCTGTTAACCAGCCCATTCTGGCCGCTGCTCAGTCTCTACATCGAGAAGCAACCAAGTGGTCTAGTAAGGTACTCCTGAGTCTCCCCCGGGCGACTGGTCTGTATGCATCCGGCCATTGGGGAACGCTGGCACATTTGCATCACTCTTGATCCCTGCTGGGTCCCGTGATTCTGAATGAACAAGTGTGTCTGCACTTCATTTTAAGGACTGAGAGTGGCTTCACGAGTTTGTTAGGTCTGTCTGTCAGTGTCAGATTGAAGCTTGACTTGGGTCACTTATTAATATTAAAAGGCTTCCTCTCCCTTTGCATCTGCCTGTTCTTCTTTGTTATGGCAGTTTTCAAATTGTAATAGGGGTTGTCTTCCCTTCCCCCCCCCTTTCTTTTTTCATTAATTCTGGCTACCTGTGAAGAAGCCATGGTTAATGGTTTCTTAATGACTGTTGTAATGATGCAACAGAACATTCAGCATTCAAGAAGTCATTTAACATGTCTGTTGTGCTTTGCCTCCTTTGCCCTCAACTAAAATACGTATGAACAAGGAATGGCTTTGTATGGCAGTGTTTATCCAAGAGGACTGTCTGCTGGCTTGCTCTTGGCTGATTTGCAAATGCTCGTCTTGAGCATTCTTTTTTTGAAGAAGCTGCACTGAATGCATTAGTTGCTGAACTGAGATTGTGTTTATACAAAACCAATGGAAATGTAAAATGAGGTTCAGACATTCACTAGTATCCTATCTCTTCTGCCTAAGCACAAATGTTTGCAAGACTGGTCACTTTTTTTTGGAAATGGCATGCTGCAAAAAGTATGGCTGTTGGTGTCCTATAACTAAGATTAGGTGTGTATGTGTATATATATATACAGTGAACTATTCTTAATAAAAAGGGCTTTAAAAATGTTCTTGTCCTTTTCAGATTCTGATGCTTGGATAACTTGTTAGAGGGCTTCGTAAATGACACTGATCCTAATTACTTGATCCTCCTACGTGAAAACATGGAAAAGTTTTCTTATGTCACTTACATCCTGAGTGGTTATACTAGGAAACTGTTTAGATATTAGGTCACAGTAATAAATAGTTCAGCTTTTTATATCACCTGTATCTGTGTGATGTTTAATGATATGCTTGAGATTTTTTTTCTTAAATTTACCAGTAGTGAGTCATGGAGGTATGTGCACAGGGGTAGAGGATACATTTGCTCAGTTGAGTTCTTTCCATGTGCTACTTGCTCTGAACTTCATTGGTCATTAATCATGGAATTATACTGAAGAAAATGTGCTAATACTTAAACTCACTATGCTAATATTTCATCCACGCAGCAGGTTAATGTCTCATGGCACCAAATATTTCACGTTTGTCTAACAACTTTCTACAAAGGTGAATCTAAATATACTAACAGACTATATTAACAATTGATCATCTAGGTCTGCTTTTCCTTGCACTACGTTTCTCTGGAACAGTGTGAGAAACACTTTTGCCTTGGTCATATTTAGCTCACATGTTGCAAATATTTCTCAGAAGTATTTCTGTAACTGTAATTTTAATCTATTTAGTATAAGGAATCTGAATTTAGTATGAGGTATACAACAAGATTATCTCTTAAAGTATCCAAAATACTTTTCCCCGGAAGCCTTGTTTTAAAGGGGGAGAGTTCATCAAAAAGGAAGACTTATTTTTGAAGAATAAGAGATCATTGAATCTCATTACCACGTCACAACCTGTAACGGAACTTCTGTGTTACAGGTTCTCTTCCTTTTTTCCCTTACCGATGTAGTAAGGTAGCACTATAGCTGATACTCAAATGACTTCAGTTTCAGATGCCACTTAAAACTTCATGTTCAATTGTTCGGACTAGACTATTTAACTTAATTAGTGCTATTTGGTTTAACAAGCTACTTGGCACACTTCTTCAAATAATGTTGCTTTACTGGGAAATCTGGAATTTCTAATGCTAATAACATGCTTCATCTTAAAGCCTAGCCAGCAGACCAGTAACCTATTCCATGGACAGACTAACCCTTTTCTTTACCACTTCTTTTTTTCCAGTTTTGAAGCAAGCTTTTTTCCTGAGTGTTAGGAAGAAAAGTATATCACAAATATAGGGTTAGTACAGATCTTCCCTGTTCCTTGAAGAAACCTCTTCTGTGTACACAAATCATTCATCCATCCTTGACTTCTTGAAAGTGTTGGCTACCAAAATGTAGGCTACTGCTCAGGTGTGACTTCTGTGAAGCCTCCAGCCTGGCACTAACACTAACTGGTGGTGTTCTCTTCAGGGTAACGACATCATTGCTGCCGCTAAACGAATGGCGCTGCTAATGGCAGAGATGTCTCGCCTGGTGAGAGGCGGTAGCGGAAACAAGCGCGCGCTTATTCAGTGCGCGAAGGATATTGCTAAAGCATCGGATGAAGTTACTCGGCTGGCCAAAGAGGTGGCAAAGCAATGCACTGACAAGCGCATTAGAACTAACCTCTTGCAGGTAAAGAGTTAACTTCTAAACGCCTCAAAAATACTCTTTCCTTTTGTTCTTCTCCCAGTACGGGTGAAGGCTGGAGCACAGGAGCTGTAAATCACCTGTATCTTTCCTTGACTTGCTGTTAAGCTTTGTCAGTTTCTAAGTCTGATGTTAGGTCCCATTGCAATATATGTTTGGTAAAGTCAGGATTTGCTTATAAGATGGGTGGAAGATGCTAGTGCCCAAAAGAACTTGAAAAATACCATGCTATGAGCACTAGTCTGTGCAATGTCTACATTGCTTTATATTTCACCTAGTAATTCCTCTTGTATCAAAGTATAATAGCAGTAACATAACACACTCCTGGGCTTTTTTTTTTTTTTTTTTTTTTTACCATCTCAGATAGCCAAATGCACATCGTGCCATTCCTGACAAAGGAGAAAGGGAAAAATGTTGGCTCTGTTCTTCCGAAGAATTCATATAGCAAGTCAGAAGTAAAATAAGAAGTTCAAGTATCCTACTAACGCTTTACGTTTGTTTCTTATCTAACACTAAAGCAAAATCAAAGAATTTAGCTGAAAACCCAGTCAATAATTTACTGATTCAGTTTACAATGTGAAGTGTGTTTTATCCTCATTCCTTAGGTCTGCGAGCGAATCCCAACCATCAGTACACAACTCAAAATCCTCTCCACTGTCAAAGCTACCATGCTGGGCAGAACTAATATCAGTGATGAAGAATCAGAACAGGTAAGAGGTGTAAAATCTGATGGTAGTGTGAACTGTTGTTCACAGTTTTATGGGAAGAAGATGTAATATCAGATGTGTTCCAGGAATTAAATATTGGAAAGCTTACCACAGCTCTGTGGTGAAGCTAATTTTAGTATAGTGCTTTAGTTCAAAGGCTACAGTTTAATAGTGGGACATTGATTGTTCCCAAGTCACAAAGTTATTTTCATTCAGATGTTTATATGAACAATTTGTTAATCTCTTGACTTCATAGTAAAAAGCAGGGCTAAGAACTGTATTCCAAAACTATAGAGCAGGTTTGATCTCTAAGTGGTACTAGCACCCTCTGGTGGGCAGTAGTGAAAATATTTTTATTCTCCCAGCAACTTCTAAAGTGTCTTAAAATTTAAAATTGTTACTTTCATAATGCATGTTTTTCAGTTGAAATCCTGCAGATCTTATCACAAGGATTTTTGCTTCTGAGACGCTGAGCTTTTATTCATATTTTCAGTAAATGGGCAATGAAAAACAGGGTCTCGTTGTGAGTCAGTATATTACTTGCTGGTTTCCAGAGTCTGATTGTTTCATGTACTTCTTATAATTTAGACAGACTTAATGTTTGTACTGACAGAATGCTGCTGTCCTGAACATGGTATTTATTAATACATTGGAAACAATTTTTCCTTCCTTCCTTGACAGGCAACTGAGATGTTGGTTCATAATGCTCAGAACCTCATGCAATCTGTAAAGGAAACTGTGAGAGAAGCTGAAGCAGCTTCCATTAAGATTAGAACAGATGCTGGATTCACCCTTCGCTGGGTCAGAAAGACTCCATGGTATCAGTAGACACTCGCCCCATAAGTATTGTTTTCTGTAACATAAAATGCCTCTTTTTGGAAACAGAAGAAAAATATTAACAGCAAAAGGTGCTGTAAACGAGCTTAAAATTAGCTTATGCTAATGCCCCATTCTAAGGGTATGAGTTTTATGTATATGCATTTCAAGTATCTTCGGAAAGCGTTTGGTATCAAACACGTCATAATTGCTTCCGATAGTAGCCAGTTTTTATCCTTTTTTGCTTTTGAAGATTTGAATCTTCATGAATTCTGTAATCCCAGAAGCACATTTCATTTATGCACTGTACGTTCTAGTAATTTCCATGTGGTGATATGCATGGACTTCACTTTGAGCTTGTACCGAAAGTCTGAGACACTAACAGTGTTACTTGGCGCAATGATACAGGGATAATCATTGATATATAAACATTCAACTTTTCAAAGAGATTTTAGTTAGCTATTCTTAAACCATGCAGAAATGATGAAAAGTGTGTTTAAAAAAAAAAAAAAACAGTAAGGAGGGCAGAACACTTGTGAAGTGAGGATGAAAAACCCGTTGCTGAAATTGTTTTTTTTTTTTCTTTTCTTGCTGTTAATTTTGCTTGGCAACAATAATTTAAGTCAACAAAAACTGGAGCTGTCTTTGTCACCCTGTTGCCATCCTCTAGGTGGGCATTCCAGAGCTCTTATTCTGTCCTGAAATGCTTCACAGTGGATGTTTGTGGCACGCCATGGGCAGCTTGAGCCTTATGATTGAAGGCCTTAAATCACAGAACTTTTTCTTTCTTGCTTAGTTTAGTGATGTGAGCTGAAAAATCTTGGTTCTCTTAAGCTAGCTGCACATACCCAAAACAAAGATAATCATGTCCAGGATCAGCAAATGTCATGCCCTGGCTCTTTCACTTTGAAAACCAAATGATCACATACATATAGCATTATTCTAATTTTTCTTTCATCTCTCCATCTAATGTTATTCCAGTCACTGACGGTAGAAATTAAAAGATGAACAACAATGTTCAATTCAAGAAGCCTCTCTGCCCTTCTTTCTAGCAATGAAATAGCAGTTGCATAAGCTTGTCCAAATCCAAGTGCTGCAGGGACACGAAATCCTATATTTAGGTAGCCAGATGACAACTGACAGTCAGTTGTTCCTAATACTAAACCTTTCAGATATTTTTACTGTTTTTAAACATATTTAGAGGCCTGAAGTTCAAAAACCTTTTCAAGTCCTAGTAATAGTAAATTGAACAAAGTGTTAGTATGTCTTTTAAAAAAAAAAAATTTGTTAGTAAAATATACTTGATATTTTTATGCTTCCATAATTGAACATGCCTTTATATATATTCATGTTAATTGCTCAATAGTCTCCTTTGGCATTTGACAAAAAAGGGAATTATTGTTTTAGAATGGGTCTCTGTATGTTTACAAGGAACTCTTTCAAACTTCTACCCAGAGCAGCATTGACATTATGAGGACCCTTTAATTTCCATTTACTAAAAATTGTTGCATGGTTGAACCACCTTGATTAAAGTGCCCTTGTGGAAAAACTGCTCGGTTAGCCTAACAAATGAAAAGCAGAGACACAATATAGTCAGTTGTTCTTTGCCTGTCTGTAACAGTTATTCTACACTTGGATTTTCTTTATTCCCCTTTCCTGCACTGTTTTCTTAAAAGGGAAGTTAAACTGATTATAAGACATCTGCCTCAAACTGACTGTAGCAAGAGAAAGTGTGTTCCTCCTTAATTCACTCCCTGTGTCTGGGTATTATGAAGCACATGGTACTTAAGATCTTTCCTTAGTATTCTCTTCCTGTAATTACCTGTAACAGGAAGAGTAAGGAAGGGATGCCAGAGCCTTAACCTGAACGTCTTGCGTTTGGTTGGTTTATACCAGATCTTTAACGTAATTGTAATGTAGTCATTTCTATTTAACAGTGAATAACACTGAATAGGTAGGGGTTATTTTTAAGCAGTCCTCTGAAGAGTCTTCCTGTATTTCTTTTCAATGCTTCTCCCTCCCCTCCCTGTCTGCCGCCCCCTCCCCCCCAATTCAGACTTCTCCATGAGACTTTTTTTTAGCATCACTGTTTAGTTGCTTGACTGATATTAATGCAATATTACTAATGCCTTTAATACATAATTGTTTATGCCAAAGATCACTTTTTGTTTATTGAGGAGTGTTTGTGGGAAAGTTATGAATCATGGTTGCCTTTGATACTCTGAGAATGTTTGCTATGAGTTCTTGAACTGTTTTGTAGAAGCCGAGATGCTTGTCCACCTTATGCAATTACTGCTTTTTTTGAACACTATTGGTCTTCATACCTGAAACGCAGCAAAATTTGAAAAAGACCATGAATGTCTGTTAGAAATGTTTTACCACTATAAAACTTCATTTATAAACCAAAATGTGTTATATAGTCTAATGTTTTCAACCTTTTTCTTTGGTTCTGTTAAAACAATAAAAATGCATTTGTACAAATGTTAGCTTGAGTTTTACAAGTTCTGAACAGAAGGGTGCAAAACTCTTGAAACAGGAAAAGAGGACTAGACAAGTTGGGCTTTTTCTCTTGCACTAGTAAAATTAGCAATGAAAACTATTTATTGGAAGCTGTGGCCCAGTGGGAAGAAATGGGCTTTCTTGGCAGGGGCCAAGGGTCATCTGTTCTAGCACTGCCACGCAAGGCTGTGAAAACTTGAGGTGGGATTTGTCTGATCCTGTCATTAAGAAGGAAAGAACTACTACTCCGTCAAACGCTGTGGGTGTATTTCATTAATGTGAATTTCACTTCGCAAACCTGAATGCAAGGGCAGTTAGCATGGAATCAGTGTTCTGTTTCTTGCTCCTTAAGAGCAAGAACCTCTTATCACCTATTCATAAAATCTTTATTATATAGAAAAATTTCTACAAGCACAGCATACACAATGGTCTGGCTTCACAGAATGAACATTTCTTGGTGATGCAGGATTGAGAATGTAGTCTGACAGTGCAGGAAGGCATTTGGGATTTAGTGATACTACATGAAATACAAATTTTTTCATTTTTCTCCTGAATGTTGGGGGAGGAAGCTATCATGAATTATGTGTATGTCATGAGACTGTTAACAGCAAATATTAAAAAGTTTATTCCATTTCAACCTCTTCCTTCTCCCCCTCCAAAAAATATTTTTTTAGGCTAAACTGCGCATGCTGTTTATGTTGCAATTTCCGTTGACAACTTCTAGTTGTCAGAAATGAGAATTTAAGTTCCATTTTTCTTAACATCAGACTTTCTTCTTCATGTTTTCTCCATTTCTGAAGGAGGAGTAGAACTTGAGACGCTCACCTTTGTCAGCACTCCCAGAGCTGGACACCTCGATCGAAAGCTGGCAGTACTAATTCCCCAGTAATGATATTCTCCTATTAAGCTGTACTATGCATACAGGTGCTGGTGCAGTTTATTTTGCCAGGGAGAACGTGAACACAGTCCCCCATTACTGCAAATGGTGCTGTTCTGTGTTTGGGGAAATGGCAGGAGTTAGCACACTCAGAGCGGAAGGTATATAATGGTTTTCACAAGGAAAACCATTTCTCTGAGGAAAACCATCTTTGGGCTCAGGGTCCCTTTCCTACTGGACAAGTGTAATTCTTGTTGGTGATGACTTCTGGTGGTGCCGAGTGTGGATCAGAGCTGGCAGTACTAGAGCCAGGAGCTTTGCATATCTTTCCCTGATGGCTGAGTTGCAGGAGCCTGGCAAGGCTTGTTCCAAGACTCTGATACACTAAAATGCAATTTTGAAGGAAAGCATTAGTGTTAAAATTAGCTATTTCTGATACGACATTATGTTCCATTTCAGTAATGTATGACTTCTGAATGGAGATATTACAACATTTCCAAGCTGCTAATGTAGATAGCAGCTCTAGCTACTCTGACTTAAGCTTGGGACATATCAATTGCATCTTAAGTCAAGACTCTCACTAAAATTGGCCTAACTGAAGGATGTTATTTACTGTAACAGTAGAACAGTAGAATTAGCAATGAACTGATAGATGTTTCCCCAAACAGCAAATGGTGGACTAGAAGCTTTGTACCTTTCAGTACACAAGAAACGTGTCTGCGCAAATACAAGTCTCTCTTATAGATACTGATTCTTAAAAGCACTGTTTTATCTGCAATAATTTACTATCAGTTCAAAACTCAAAATTAACGTCTGCAGGCTAATTAGCCTAGTGATGCTGTTGAAGTTGGCAACAGAATGTGCTCATTTCTTTTTTTTACTGGCTTGCTGCCAATGTTCAGGTAGGTTCCGTCTCCTTTTTTCTTTTTAGACTTGAAATCATTTTTGTTTAAGTTTGAAATTTTGGTTACCGAATGAATTTACTTCCTACATTGATCTTAAGCAAAGTTAGTACCTCTTTATCTTGTCAAGAGCATTACAAATAATTTACAATACTGAAGACTTCACAAGAGAAGATGCATTTGCAGTAGAGTTCCCTTTATTTCATTACATTAAAGCATACAGCCATTAAATACATCTGACTTCTACTGTGCTAAAAGCTATGCTCCAATGTACACATGGCACAAATCTGGTGGCATCCGCTTCAAACAAGTGGAACATCTAAATCAAAGTTCAGGCTTCACATAAAAAATAGATCTTACTCTCTGCAACTGTATTCTTAAAAAACAACAAATATGATGATGAGAGTGAAGGGAAAGAAAGTGGACTACTGAAGCAACAATCACCCCCCAGATTTAATGCAGAATGTTATTTCTATCAGCTCATCTGCAGATGGCACAAATGAAAGCAGATTAAGGCAAATGCTTCTTAAGAAAGGTAGTTTCTTGTAAACAATAAGGAAAGTATTTTTTTTTCCCCTCCTTCATCACAAGCACTTTCTCAGGAGTGACATTTGCTATGTCCAAGGCCCCTTTGGGACCCCTGCTTATCATTCTGCTGCTCTCCATTTCTGATGGGATCACATGATGCATTGTGGAATACCAGCTTGCAGCTGGCTATAAGAATAATTGAGCTTTCTCTGCATCCTGCAGCAGCAAAATGTGCCACCACAAGACTTTCCCAGTAGCCTATCTGGCCTTTATAGTGTGCTTGGCCTCTGGGCTTTGGTATCTGATTTGGCAGTGTAGTGTTTGTGACATTCTGTGGATTACCTATTTCTAACTATTCACCAGCACAACAACAATTCAGTAAAAAAGGGTGAAAGTGTATTAGAAAAAAAACAAAAGGTACCTTATTTTAAAGCCATATTAAGAAAAAATAAAGCTACGCTTTCATTTTAAAAGCTGCTGTGCCCAAATGCTTTGATCCCAAACTAATCAATGTCTATTAATTGGCACCTAATTAATAGCAACATAAGTCACTAAGTCATTTTTTATTATTTTTTTAAAGGGGAATTTCCTCTGGGAAGTAGAGCATCTTCTCATGTCCTGACTTGGAATTTTCCTGCTTTTGTAATGTATTTGACACCTTTAAAAGGCTTGTATTTTTCTCCATACATGTCTAGGCGATTTACTTTCAATCCTGAAAAACAAAAGTAAGAGTACAAAAGTTAAAGGTAGGATACCAAAAATCTTGTCAGTCTGTTTAAAAGTCTTCTCTATTTTCTTCAAGCACATTAAAAGCAGTTAGGAAGCTAGCTTTCCTTCCTACTCTTTCGTCAGTTCGTCTATTCTGAGACAGCAAAAGGGTCTGTTCTTGTCACCTTGTCCTAGTTGGCAGCCTGGGGGGACAACAACTCTTATCTGTTCTACTCTGTGAGTCAACGTTCTCCTTCGCAGGGATAAAATACTGAGCAAATGAGTTCATCCTCCATATCTCATGCACAGTACACCCTTGCTCCCACTAACATGGGATGAAGCAAAGCAGAAATTTTAGAATTTTCTTCTCTCTTTAAATTATAATTTCAAGGACCAGCACTCCCTCTGTTACTGACTGGGAAATACAGCAGCTGTTAATTACCTAACAGATTCAGGTTAGCCCCTGATTTCATGTATGCCTGCTAGCTTTGGCCATTGGGTCTACTACATTTTGCTAAATGTAGACCGGTGGATTGCAAGTTTAAGAGGGCACTGTAGAATTCCGTTTTATACTAGGACTAACCATTATTTTACTTAGCAAAATGGGAGACAAAAGAATGACAGCCTTCAGACAGATACTACAAGCGCTAGGGCTGTCCCTTCACACATTCTCCTTCCAGTCAAATCTGAGTCTTTGCTGTATGTGGTATACTCTATTAAGGCCTTAATTTTGCAAAGATTACTCAGAAACATTTTGCACACAGGCTACTCATGTAATTTAAGTGTTTGCTGCCTGAGGGCTTGAGCTTGCTTTAAACTCACTTTTGCAATTCCCCTACAGATGTCATGCTGATTTCACTTGCAGATTATGTTGAAGATGAAAAACTAACAACTAGTTACAAAAGGAAAGAATAAACAAAAGGGGCAATCTTTAAAAATAACAGAGCTTATTGACCAGTAGAAATGGCTTTAGTGGTACAAGGCTAAAGAGAATCACGAGCAGCATGCTAAATCCTCATCATTCTTCACTAAAAAGAAATGGCGTATTTTTAATGCACAAGTCAAAACAATGCCATTCTTCTGTACATTTTTTCACAGCCTTTCTGGAGCAAAGCAATTGGGAACCCATGATTTTCTGCCAGCAGGGTTAACCGTCAGGTTTAGGTTAACCAGATTTCATTAGTTTGGACCAAGTCGAAGCTGACTTCAGTTCAGCACCTCCAGTTGAAAGATTAACAACAGGAAGGCTCCATTTCCTATTGTTACTCTATTTGTTCCACCAGCATCAATTTCACTTAACACCCACTCACCTGAAATTGCAAGCTGTTGTATCTTAAACTGGATGTTTAAGCTTGGATTCTCCTCTGGCTTGGGGGCTCCAGACTGTAGGTTCACTATGCCCTTCAGATTGGGTAGCTTTTGAGGGGTAATTTTCCCCACATCCCAAGTTAACACCTTGTCAGGAAAGAGAGAGTAGTAGCAGCAGCATTTTAGGAACCTATGAGGCCAAGTTCAGGTCAAGTTTTTGGTTTGTAGGCTGGGTATAGCAAGTAGCCCAGCAGCCCTGAGAATTATTCCCCCTGGCTGGGAGATGGCATGGTTAGGGCTACTGCAGGTGTGGTGCCTTTTATTCCCAGACCTCATTTGCCCCATCAGGTTTCCTTAGTTGGTCTGTGCACTTAATAGGGCTCGTTCTCTTAGTAGTAACGGCTGACCCTATTGTCACATTGGGTCAGCTAGGTCTACAAAGCAAGTAGAGTAACCAGTATAAAGGTAGCAGGTATTTAAGCATGGGAACGAGCAGGAGACGAGCAGGTGCTTACCAAAAGATGTTTAAGAAAGAGTAACTTTTCTAAGCAATGCTTTTTTCCCATTGATTCCTACACTTTAAAGAAGGTACGTGCAACAGCATTTGCCCTTTACTCACCCACAAGAGGGGTGTTTTTTTTTTTTTTAAAACCCCCCCCCCCAAAAATCTGTTGCTAAATGCAGGGAAAAAACCCTCAATTGTCCCTACTTCTACAAGTAAGGTTTTGCAGTTGCCATCCAACTGTGTGGCAAATTGACACAGTATAGGAACAGGCCCAGAATTTCTGCAGAGCCCAGTGAGAGGCAGCACAAGGAGAGCAAGCCTGGTGAACGTGATCAGCTCTACCATGCTGTTGAGGTACATAAAGTTGGTTTGAAGCTAAACAAATCGGACATCTCTTCAGTACATCAGTACTAAGAGCTATTTTAGAGATGAGCCGTGTCACAGCTTATCACACATCAGTTTAAAAGGAAAAACAAGACGACTAAGTTCTGAAAAAGGGGACAAAACTGCAAGTAGGGGAAGATGTTCCAGAGGATACCAGGAACACAACAATCCACTTACTTACAGTTATCTCAACTCTTGAGAAAAAAAGCAGTAAAATTTATTTCTGTCAGTCATGACTTGGTTCCCCATGTTTTCTCTCCTTTGCTAGATTAAAGGGGACTTCAAGGTGGTTTGTTGTTTCTAAGCCATTGTTGTCTGTTGCTTTTAAAACCAAATGTATTTTGGAGAGCTTTCACCTGCAATTCAAATGAAGTGCTGACTGAGAAATTCCAAGAGCAGCAGAAAGCTCAGAACAGGGTGTTAAAGCCAGCGGAATGGTTCAGCTCAGACCACATTCCAGCAAAACGGTTCCTGGGGACTAAAAAGCTTTAGGAACTTTGGGAAATTTAGCTTTCAAACCGCAATTGAGAGGCAGGAAAGCAGGACTCCAAGACACAATTTTTCAGACTATTTGTTTTCCACTTTTCTTCCTATATGTCTTCAGGCAGACCTTTTGGGAGAGATTTGTATCTCCTGTTTTTCTGATTACCTATTTTCAAGTCTGCTGCATTTTTTCCAGATAAGTATGTTTTAAAGGGCATAGATTGCAGTATGCACCACAGCTGAAATCATCAGCAAAACCGTGTTGCATCCATTAAAGAAAAAAAAAAATAGGGGTGAAAGAGCAGGAGAAAAAGAGATGAAGGAAACAGGGGAAGCAATCCAGACTGATACAATGAGAAATCACAGCTGATTCTTCTTTACAATTGAACAAAGTCAATTTTAAAAATAAAGTTTTAATTCATAAACATATGCTGAAAGGAAGGTTTTCTACTATGTGTGGAACTGTTCCAGTACTCTGCAATATGTATAACTTGCTCTAATGTCTTAGATATTTAAATAAATAAAAATACAAGACTTACTTTAGTAACTGGGTCAAACGTATAGCTGCCTTGGGTAGAAGTGAGGTTCATGTTAAGTACTGCCTTTGGCATGTGAACTGTCATGACAACTCCTTCTACTGTTTTCCCCATATTCTGTTTTGGTCCAATGGTAACATCAAATCTTCCCGAAGAACTATTCTCCTTAAAACTGATCATGTGTTTCACATATACAGGAATTGCCACCAAGCTGAAGAAAGAACACAGTAGTTGCATGCATCCTGGCTACTTCTCTATTGGGGAAGATAATGTTCTTTTTCATAAACAGACCTTATGTTTCTGGCAGGCATAAGTTAAAACCAATTTCTTTCCAGTGAAAAGTGATACTTAGCTCTTCAATATCATTGTTCAAGTGATTTCTATTAGTGGGGAATCATTTACAGAAAAAAAAAATTCTTCCAAACCACTTTTCCTAATCTCTTTCCTTCCACGTTGTACTTTTTAAAGTAATCTCACTTCTCAAAACAGCTACCAGTCAAATGAGACTTAGTTTGCAGACATTTATTGCTTAGACTTTTTTTGCTTTGTTGTTTTTATGAAGTTTAGGGTCCTCTATGGATACAGAGACTTAATCACAAAGATCTCTCAGCAGGATCAATTACCAGGAGTGAATAGCCCTATATTACTATCATACGTGGTTTATGCCACAGAACAGTGGTTGTTTAATATCAGCAGCTCTACTGAAAACTGTTTTCTTTTTTTAATGTGAACAGAGCATCAGATTAGACAAAAACAGAGAACATGCATTTTGACAATGATGCAAATTCCCCTTGTAACAAGGGGAAATCTGCATTTACCCACATGGAAGGTATTAAATGGTGCAGTTAAAGAACAAATGTGTCTAAACCAAACATACTTCTGTGAGCTGACACGGTAGGAGATCAATCTGAAATTCCCATCTGGAGGAATAAATGAAAGGACTCTTTCAGACTCCCAGCGTTTGAACCGAATGCATGGATGGAAGCTGACATCATCCAGCAGCCTTGGGTTCTGTAAGAAATGGCAAAGTGGTAAGTGGAAACTCACAAAGCGTCAGCAGTTTGAACTAGGCTACTAAACTCCACACATCTCCTATTTCTTATACTCTTAAGTATTTTTCCTGACCGTTATCAGAGACAAATTGCTCAGATGGATTTCTGGTCTGACTTGCTACTGCAGTTCCTGTATTTCTACAAACAGACAAAAGTCATTCCAAATACTGAACATGTAGCAACTCTTACAGTACAAGGCAAGGCTTGATATATTATTTTTCACACGTGTAACATATGAAGCAGTCGTTGCATTATTTTACAGTTGTTTAAATCTGATCATTAAGAAAAATAAACACAGACAAATTAAAATTGCCAAATACACTGCTAAATTTACCATGAAAGAAAGAGAAAGATCTGGAATTCCTGAGAGCTTAAAAAAAAAAAAACAACAAAAAAAGACACTTAACACCTTATCAAGGGTGTAACAAACGTTGTGAAGTGCAGCTAGAGGACACAGATGCCATTTGCACAACACTCAACAATATGCCGAGTACAGATAGGAAAGGTCATTCCAGTTACCTGTGTACCTCGCTAAGACACAAGAATTAGAGCAAACTGCTTGTCCCAAATCAGCAAATTATACTTGTGCAAGCTGTTACCCAGGATTTGTACTGGATGTGCTTGAACTGGTTCCCAGCAATGAGCAAATAACAATTTCAGAGTATGCAAGCTCTGAATTTTCCTTTCTTTCACCCCTGTCCTCTGTCTCCAGAAAACTGGCCAGTTGTGTAGCAATGCCAGGAAGCTGAAGCACATCAAAATAATCAACATTAACACATGGCAAGTTTGCGCTATGAAGCTCAGGATCTTGTTATCCTTGGTTTCCACAGCTGAAGCATGGCTTATTTTATAGTGGGATTAAATATTCATCTAGATGTTAAATAAATGTCTAGTCAAAAAAACAAAAGCAAGATTACCATGTGCCTTACCCAGGAAAGGATCGTTTCCTTAAATGCCCAATAAGTCCAGGACTCTGGACTAATTAGCCCTGCAGGCAAAGGTTGTTAGAAGATAAGTAGAAACTACTGCTGACCCAGTTAAGGGGAAGGAGAAACTGTGGGTTAATACTTCGCCTGAAAAGAAGTGATCCTGTTTCAGATTAACACATTTAACCGTATGCCTATGAAACAAGATAACATCTATTCTAGGGGAGCAATCTTATCTACTGCTTAGTCCTAATGAAGGTTAGGGAAGAAGATTCTTGTGCTGCAAGTTCACGAGGGATCAGAAGCAAAAAGAGTAGTTCTGATTACAGCAGTGGGTCCTCAGTTTATTTAAATGATCTCAGTGGTCTCACACTCTAATTGGGATTGGAATACATACAGAAATACATAAAGGGTCTTGATTATAACTCCTCAGACTGGGACTCATACTACTCTTAGGAATGCTATTGAGCTAGGGGAGCAATACAGCCATCAAGGTATACTGGCTGTGATCCCCATCACCTTTTAGTCTCATGACAGTGAGAGTAAGAGTTGTACAATAGCTGTTTATGACTCTCTAGGATGATTATAGCTGCAGTGTGTGTTGAACTGGTGTATGGAGCCAAAAAAGCACCGACTACTCTTGCCAACAGCAGCACTGAATTAAGAAATTAGAGATTTAATCCCCCCTTTACCCCCACAAACTGGTATCATGCAGTCTTCAACTTTAATAGCTCGTGGGCCCTGCTAATGAACAGAACAGCAGGCACTTGTCTACAGCCAACAGTTTTCTTTTTGAATCAGCCTTTTCCCACTTCCTGGCGCTGGCGACATTTACAAAAAAGTTAGCAGATTCCTCTTCAGAGCTAAAGTTATGATGAATTAATAACATTTTTCTAAGTTATTTATAGAAAGCAAAGGAGTATCGTTATGCTTCATAACATCTAGCTCCAGTTTAAATACAAGGAAAACAATACCATCTGGCTATTTTGCAGCAAGTTTTGTCTTACTATCAGAGGACAGCTAATGAACGCTTTTGTCTTGTTCATTTGAGGGCCTATGAGGACCTACCATAGACTGTTGGCAGGAACAAAGGGAGATAATTTTGTCATCACATTTAAAGCTTTAAGTATTTTTTTTCCATTTGTACCCCTTAAGAGATAATCAATATACAAACTAACTATCTAAGTACAGAATATTTCTTGTAGGTGTACAGCATGTTCTTTAAGCAGCCCAGTGCAAATTGCTATTATAAAATGAACTAAAAATATATTTGGGCATGTTTTTTTAAATGGGCTGTGTATTTTTATTATTTTTATTTAAGATATGGATATATGTATATAGAACATATAAATGCAGAAAAGCGGTTGGACTGTATTCTCTCTGAACATCAGTGGCTAAATATAAAAACATACAACCAACAAATATGAGTTCATATGTCATCTTACCTGATTTGTCTATAATTGCATCAATTTCTTCAATGACATCAAAATAGGCTTCATTGTTTGTGTATTTTACCCCCGCTCTGCGCCAAGGAATGTTGGACAGCTGCCCAGTGGGAAGTGTGTCACCCACGTTACTACTGCCTTAAAAGTGAAAAGAAACTCATAGAATTGATAAGTAATTACAAGAGGAATGTTCCAGCTATCACAATTATGAATCAAAAAGCAGAATTTGACCCTGAGAACTGCAAACTAAAATCTGAACCACTAAAATTTCATTCATTAAGTGACCCGAATTAACTTCATGTGTCCAGACTTAGAGCTTTGAGACTGTATACTTTGCACAGGAAAATACAAGGTTCAAGTCAGCAAGAGGGTTGACTGGGAGTAGATGGGGGGGCCAGATTCCCAGAAGGATCCAAATGCTACTTCAGCAGCTCCTTGTGAGGGCCCTGGGCACTGTTTCTCCCTCTTCTAGGAGTTTAGCTGGCTGCCCTCAGGGACAGCTCATGGATAAGAGCTGTTACGAAGAAAAACCTGGAATAAGCCTTAGCGGAGGCTCCCTCTCCCTTTACTTGGGAGCTGTTGAGACTCTCGCCTTTGGTGCCCATCTGAGCTACCTTGTAGGATGTGACAATCGTGTCTGTGTCCAACCACATACCCCACTGATTCAGACCCTGGCCCATGGACTTGACCTTCCGGCCTGGCGATCACTAGACTGCGGCTGACCCTGCTTACTGTCTCTGGCCCTGATCCTCACCCGGACTTGCCGGCTCCATTTCCTCGCTAGCCAGGGAGGCCGCTGCCCTGCCTGCCTTGCACTCACCCTCAGCTCCCAGTTCTTCTTCCCTTGCAACACAGCCTGCCCATGCTGCTTCCCAGCACTCCTACTCTTGGCTCTTGAAGCACCGCCTGTAGCCTCACATCAGTAGATAAATAAAATTTGGTGCCCCCAAAGAATAAGATTAACACCACCCAGCGTGAGAAAAGGGCTTCCTGAGCCACCTGGTAATAAAGTAAAATGATAGTTCTTTAAAAAGGAAAACAAATCATATTCCTTCTGGGGATTAGGTAACTGATCTTGGACTCCCAGTATAGTGGAAACAACTCCCTCCACTACGCATTGTCCTCTGGAGAGGGCTACAGCTCAGCAAGGATGTAGTGCTGTGCTCTACAAAGCGAGACCGCTTCTCTGAGTCATCACTTCCACACAACTTGGTGGCTAGGCCCTCTCCTAGGAGGCAGAAAATGGAAGTTTTCATTCTTTTGGGCTAGTAAAATAAACCTCACTAAAAATACCCTTAGTGAACGCTGCCTCTGTGCTGTTAAGACGTGGGGGATAAGGGGCAACCACTAACTCTTATTTCTGAAGGGGAGCAGCTGCCGTGGGTGCAGCAGGCACGTGTGAGCTGGGCTCAGCTGCCAGGCCAGGCAGGTGGGAGAGCTCTCACCCTGCGGTTCCCGCCGGCTCGGGGCTAAGCTGCTGACACTGACAAGACGGAGGCACCAAGCAGGCACTTTAGACTCCTAGGGATTTCTAATGAGGCTTTAAGGTGCCTGTGTGGTAAAACAAGAGGATTTCAGGCTGCAGCCCTTGGCTGAGGGGAATCTTAATTCCCCTTACAGTGTTGCACCTGGTCCATTAATGACGCAGGCGTTTTTCAGAAGTACAACTACTACCATCCAAGCCCACATTTTTCCAAAAAAAAAGAAATACAACCTGATGAGACTTAGATACAAAAACTAGACCACATGTGTTATTCCGAACACCAGCTCTTGTGAGCCATACCTGTGTGTGGCCCTGCAGCCCACCTACTACTCATCTCTAACACAATGTACAGGCGAATATTTTGCTATCTTTGACCCCACGTGACACCTCATGGCTCACCTCCCCGGTGTCCGCTTGCCAGACAAGCGGATTCCACCAGCTCAGCTGACAGACATGTGGCGCTGTCAGTGTGGGACGTACCCATTTATGACAGCCTGAAATCAGCTCTGAACTTCACAGATGCTGATGGTGGCAGGGCGTGGGGGGAGGGGGGGAAGGGGAGGGACCTAAGGATTTGCTTCTCTTCAAGCTATTTGTTCCCAGCCAGCAAACATTTATTGGACTATTATTAGGTAGCTGTTATTTATCTTTATATAATAATTTCATATAGCATGCATAACCTTCTCCAGTGCCCCTGAGTTATTCAAGACTTGAGCTAGCTCTGTAGCAATCCCAGAGCACCTGTCTCTAGTATCCTGCTACTCCTGAGAGATTTCAGCAGCTGTGGCTGGACCAGATACTACCACTAAGGGTATCAAAAGGGCCCGGCCTAAACTGCAAATACAGAGCAAGTTGCCTTCATTCAGCTCTTAATTACAGGAAGTGGAAGGACAGTGGCTTTACCTTTTAGGGTTAGGGCACTATGGGCATATTTT